GCTCCCCGCGCCCGCTGCCCTCACCTTGGTCTCCGCCATGGGGCCGGGCGATGGCGCCGCTGCCGGGCGCGCTGGCTCCTCCGCTCGCTACCGCTTCCCTCGCTCGCCGCCGCTTCCTGCCGCGCGCTCCCCACCCCCTCCCGCTCCTACCTCATTCCCGCAGCCCGCGCCGCCGCCGCCGCAAGGCCCGATGGGAAACGCCCACTTTCCCCCGCGGCCCCTTTATCCCCTCCCCGCCCCCATTGTGCCGCGCGCGCGCGCCCCGCCCCTCGTCCCACCGCGCACGCGCAGCGCSCCGCTCCCCCTCCCCCCTCCGGGAAGGGATTCCGCCCGTTCCCCCGGGCGCCTCCCGTCGGCCCTTGCGGCATGGCGGGCACGAGCCCTGCGCAAGATGGCGGCCGCGTGCGCCTGGGGGGGAAGAATCGTTTCAGGGCTTTCGTTACCCTCTAGCCATATATATATATATATATATATATATATATATATAGCCATATATATAGCCCTGTATGCGAGGGGCGGCACCGATGGGGGAGGCAGCTGTTATACAAATAAATAAAAATAAAAGTGCCGTTTTACTTTTGAAGCGGGTGACGTCACGGCGCCGCCCCCGCGCCGGCGGGCGGGAGGAGGGGGCGGGGCGGGGCGGCGGGCCGCGCGCGTGTCCGCGCCGAGGCGGGGGCCATGGAGGAGGCGAGCGGCCCCGCGGCGCCTCCCGCCGAAACCGGAGCCGAAACCGGAGCCGAAGCCGCGGCCGAGCCGCAGTCCGAGCAAGATGGAGGCGGGGGGAAGCAGGCGGCGAGCCCCGCGGCGCGCGCCGACGTCTACCGCTACATTAAGGGGGACTTGTTCACCTCCGAGATCTATAAGGTGGAAATACAGAACCTGCCCAAGTACATCGGCTTCAACGACGTGAAGAAATTTCTCGCCAAATACGGGCTCAGCCCGCATAAGATCAAACTTTTYGGGAAGCAGACGTTCGCGTTCGTGACGTTCAAGAGCGAGGAGGAGCGGGACCGAGCCGTGGCYGTGCTGCACGGGGCCCTGTGGAAGAGCCGCCACCTGAGCGTGCGGCTGGCCAAGCCCAAGGCCGACCCCATCGCCAAGAAGAGGAAGAAGGAGGAAGAAGAGGAGACGGAGCCGCGCGAGGCGAAGCAGCCCAAGGCCGGGGAGCCGCCGAGCAGGCAGATCGCGGACGTGGTGACGCCGCTGTGGAACGTGCCCTACGAGGAGCAGCTGGCGGGGAAGCGGCGCGAGTGCGAGCGAGTGCTGCAGAGGCTGACCAAGTAACGGCAGCTCGCGGCATCGCCACATAGGAGCTGTGGGAAATAAATACAAACAAATCCCCTGGCAAAGCAAGGGGAGGCTGTCCGGGCTGCAAGGACCACAGCCTGCTGCGGCTGACACAACTTGCCGTTGTTATCCCATGGTCCTGTTATCCCTGTTAAGCTAGCGGGTGTTGTTTTTAGAACAATAGTTTCGTAGGCCTGTGCACAAGGATGTTTGTGGCCTTAAATCTAAAAGAATTGTCAATGTCAAATGGTATAAGAGGTAATCTGCAGAGACAGCAACACGCAGTTAGGATTTCTCCTTAGATACTCTCAATAATTAAGACCAGTCTGGTCTCYCTAGATCAAAGTATTGCTCCTATCATTATTCCCTTACATAGATTGAAATTGGTTTTTTATTGTTGCATGAATGCATTTATAAAGCTACTGCGTGCCTTTGTAGTTACAGTTAGCATTCGTGTAATGATGGAGGTTTTTTTTGCCCATTTAAAAAATCTTCCAGAGAAAACATTCATCTAATAATTAGATAACTTTACACACATATATATATATGTGTGTGTGTATATATATAGTCCCATGCACCCGTTAACCTGAGTCAGTTTTTCTAAGTGATTATGTGATTATGTTCAAACTTCTTTTTCTCTGATTTGGGCAGGGAAATTGGAAATAACAACAGAGCGTTACTGCCTTGGCTGTTCGTGCAGAAGCAGAAGTACAACAAACTGTGCTGCCCGGTAGAGGGAGTGAAAGCATCACCCTTACAGGTAATCAAAGCCCACATGTAAGTATGGAGCAGAGCTAACGAACTCAGGGTTAAATGAATTATTTGTTCTTAAGAGGCAGTGGACAAACTGAATATTTGTATTCCTCTTGTAAGGAGTGGTGAATTTTAGACTTTGTTGCCTAAATATCAGTACGTATCAGGAAATACGTACTAGGAGCAAAACAATAGTTATTGTCCAGATATTCTAACTTACATTCTCCATGGAAGCTTGCTTTGTGGGCTAATACAGACCTCGAAGAGTGTAATATTTTGTTTTTAAAATACGAAGACCTAAAATCTTTTGGTTACTGCTGTTATTTCTCATACTTCAAAGTCCATGAGTGTTTTCGATATAAAATGAAACATCCCATGGCTATTTGCAAGTACATTTCAGCATGTGAGGGTTGTTTCAGGAGAAACTTGGCATGTACTAGCAAGTGCTATGCAAATATCTTACATAACTTTATTTTAAATCTAGACTGAATATCGCAACAAGTGTGAGTTCTTGATTGGGATTGGTGTAAATCAAGAAGACAAAACTGTGGGTTGTCGTCTTGGCAAATATAAGGGTGGTACTTGTGCTGTAGTGGAGCCATTTGACACTATTCACATTCCTGCTATTGCCAAAAAAGTAGTAAAAGCTTTTCAAGACTACATAAGGTGAGCCTTTGATAAAGTGAGTTCTCTGTAATGGTTTTGATCTCTAAATACTCAAAAAAATCATAAAATGAAATATTTGAGAAACTTAGTTTTTGTTCTGAGCTTTAAGACCTAATGTACGGTAGTCTTGTGCTTTACCAGTTACATTTTGCAGCTAGATCACCAGTTATTTGTCACTTCTTAGCTCTTCTGAGATGGAGAGGCAGGTACCAGTTTAGCATATTAGCTTTATTGCAAATAAGAGAGACATCTAATTCTACAATAGAAAATGTCTAATATTTGAAAGCTTCTTCATCCACTAATTTTAAAGAAAGCAGTTCTCACATAAAAATCTTTTTTTAAAGATGAGTTACGAGTGTCAGTTGTTTACTTGGTTGGTTTAGAGAGAAATCATCCTAGTAAACACATAAAATTTCTCAGTAGTAATGCTTTCGAAAGAAGAGAACAAAGTTAAATCCATAAATATTGAGAACTCAGGAAGAAGGGTGAAGATCAGAAGTTTAAATTTGGTACAATCCACAGATACATGTGAAAGCATTTTTTAAAAACTTGTGTCATTCTCTGAATGTGGGAGGAAGTTGTGTGTATCCTGTCAACAACTTTATCTTAGTTAAAAGGGATTATGAGAATTAGAGGCAGATTATTTTGCATTAGGAGACAGGATCTGTTTGTCAGTCTGAGGGTTTTTTTGGTCGTTTTTCTTTTTTTCCTACTTTTGTGTAGATAAACTACTGAATGTTGCACAAAAAAAAAGTTCTCTGTTTGGTAACTGAGCTTTTGAAAATTGCAGGTCAACTCCTTACTCAGTTTACAGCCCAGAAACCTATGAAGGTCACTGGAAACAGCTCACGGTYCGAACCAGCAGGAACAACCACATTATGGCAATTGTTTATTTTAACCCTCAGGTACTTAAAATGATATATAATATGCAGTCCAGTCATACAGCTTTAAAATTACATATGTTTGATTTTCTGAATATTATGCTGAAAGAAAAATAGAACCATTAGTTTGTATTGTTTACCTTGCATCAGTACTTTTTTTCTTTTATCTAGAGTAATCTGATATAGACAAGTAAACAAGTTTAATGTTCCTGTAGAAGGTATATACTAAATTGTCCTATTTCTTAAAAAAAAAAAAAAAAAAAAAAAAAACCCTAAGATTATTATTCTCCTTCCTTTTGTATGAAACTCTTAGAAATTAAGTAAAGAAGAGCTTGCTGACCTGAAAATCTCTCTGGCAAAGTACTTCACAGAAGGGATGGGGAAGGCCAGTGGGGTGACTTCTCTCTACTTTGTGGAAGAAGGCCAAAGGTAGGTGAGGTTTTTGGCTTTGCTTTGGGGGATTTTCATGGTGTCTGAATTTCTCCGYTTGCAACAGAGCTGTAGGTGGTACTTTGACAGTTTTCTCTTCTGTACCTTACAAAAAACAGCAGAACTGTTTTACCAACACATGCTACCTTTTCTTTCCCTCCTCTCCCAGAAAATCTCCCAATCTAGAAGACTTGCCCTTGGAGCACGTGGCTGGTGATAAGTACATATATGAAGAACTTCTTGGCCTGAAATTTAGGATTTCTCCTCATGCATTTTTTCAAGTAAGTTGTAAGTTTAACTGTGTTTGCATTATTACATTTAAGGAAAAGAAAGAAAGCTTGACTAATATGGTGTTAACAATATATAATATAGTGAGCGGTTTAACCTTTCTTGTATTTGGTGGGATGAATTAACTTTCTGAGTAGCTTTTCTTGCCCTTTGAGACAGAGTATACACTTGATCCCCAGGCACTGGTTTGGAAAACTTCCTTAGTATACACTACTGAAGCATAAGGTGTAATTACAGCACTTATTTAAAAGCAGCTTTGCAAACAAGGTGAAAAAAAAAAGCTGGCTCAGTTTATTATCGTACTTGCAGTCTTCTCAAATGTTCAGTATTTACATTTGCTTTCAAGGAGAGGAAGTATTTGACCGTCCAAACTTCACTTTACTGCTTAGTTTTTTGCTTGACTTTTGTTTTCCTCTCTAGTTTTCAAAATTACTTATGTACTGTGAAAAAAAACCACTATCTTTTCAGAAAGAAATCTCTGAGCTTCTCCAGATGTGGGATGGCAGCCTCTTTAACATGTGTTGGTCTAGGTCATTTGGATATGATTATAGTTTTATATGCAAAGTTGACTTGTTTCTTAAAAATAAGGCAAATGCATTCCTGAGACTCACTGAAACACATTTGCTGCTTGTGGAAAACATACAGCCATGTAATGAATTAAAATGCCATTTTACAGGTAAATACAGAGGCTGCGGAAGTGTTGTACACCACCATCAGGGAGTGGGCCCAGCTGAACCAAGAGAGTACTGTGCTGGACATCTGCTGTGGTACAGGAACTATTGGGATTTCTTTGGCAAAGGTAACTTCTTTTGGACAGAAACCTACATCTAACAGTCTATTTCAGATCCTCCACTGTGCTTGTAGTGAGAGAAAAGACCTGATGTATTTTGAAGAAATGCATCGTATCTTCACCGCAATTCATTTCTAATGAAATTGTCCACAACGGTTTAGCCAAGTCATGGCCAAAGCTTAACCTAGAGCACTTAGGGAAGTCTGGCCCCAGAAGAGAAACCCCTTGACATAACTGGAGCCTGCCATGTATAGGCTGGGATAACCARTGTTCATCTCCCACTTCCAGTCTAAAAATTCCCTGTTTGCACTGGTCCCTTCTGAACCTTTCTTTTTTTCGGTTGCATGGCAGTTCTCKGATCAAGCAGTCAAAGTTAGTGGAGTAGTAGGTAATTGCTGAATGCTGTGAGTGACAATGAACACACATTTATTAACTGCTCTTTCTCCCTTGATTTTGTAGAAAGTAAAGAAAGTTATTGGAGTTGAACTCTGCCAAGAAGCTGTGCAGGATGCCAGAGTGAATGCCCAGATGAACGGTTGGTCAAGCTAAATGCTAAGATCTTTCTTTGTTAAGAACTGTAGTAGTTGCACATCTAGGTCCTCTGTGTTTTGTCGATGTTGCTGTTCTCGGTAGTCATCTGGTCTATTTTAACCATTTCATCTTTCTCAAAAATAGAGAGCCAGTCAGTCTCTCTGACCCATTTTCTTCTTGACTAATAGCCTATAGATATGGGCTAAATATATTTGGGCTACATATACGCTCCCCACAGAACATTGCCGTATAAATGTCAAACAAAGCAAAACCCTTAAAACATTATGGTAGCCAGTTTTGTGTTGATTCTAGATACTGGAAACTGCTAAAGTTAGTGCTGTTTATCTGAAGCTGCTTTTTAGGGCAGACTGAACATGTATTTTCAAAGGCATCAAGCACAAATTTACAGCTTGKCCAAGTTGTCTAAAAGATGCTTTGACTAGAGAAGAGTTCCAGTACATTGTTTTTTTTTCTTTTTCCAGAACTGAATAATGTTGAATTTTATTGTGGGAAGGCTGAAGATATTGTCCCTTCCTTAATTAATATACTAGCTCCCCAGAACCTGATTACCATTGTAGATCCACCACGAGCAGGACTGCGTAAGTTTACCTTAAATCTGTTCTTTTAAYGGGTAGTTAGTGCTGTAACGCCTAAGAAAGCACCACTGAGTATAAATTGGAATACAGTGAGTGGGAGACTTCCAAGTGTTACTCGAAGCAGGTAGGTTGTGCTGCAGTGTGTTCCTGGGGAAATTTAACTTGGGAGTTTTTCTGCAACTCCACTGCTGCTTGCAACAATACTAAATATCTCCCTCTGCTTTTGYTCATCTAGATTCCAAGGTAATTCTTGCAATTAGGAGAGCTGAACATCTCAAGAAGCTTATTTATGTATCTTGCAATCCCCAAGCTGCAATGAATAACTTTGTGGAGTGAGTATTTCTATCAACTAGATAAATGCCCAAGAATAAAAACGTGGGTGAAAGGTGGTGCTTTAAGCCAAATTCAGTGAGTTTTACCTTTCAGCATACATAGTTGATTACTGCTATGTAGCAGCTAGATTGATTTAAACTGAGTAACAACAGTGGGGTGGTGTGTAACCTCATTAGGGAATGAGGTTTGAGATGCAAAAATTTTCTCAGAAGCAGTGACAATATTTCAGCATGCTGTTCATCACTGCTTTTCTCTCCCCTTCCTCTACTTTCCCATCAAGTCTTTGCCGGGCCCCATCCAACCGGGTTAAAGGAGCCGCTTTCCGACCAGTTAAAGCGATGGCCGTGGATCTCTTCCCTCAAACCAGGCACTGTGAATTACTGATATTCTTTGAACGGGTTGAATATGCGAACGGCAGCACTGCTGGAGCGATGCTCGATGCCGCTCAGGTCACACAAGGAGGATGTGACTCAGAGAGCTTGGAAAGCAAACGCTGATGAAAGCCAGGCAACCTCTGCAGACACAGATACTGCCTTCAAAGAGAGTGAATCAGCCTAAAACAYGGACATTTTCCAAAAAGCTACTTGTGCTACAGTGCTTTGGTAATATTGTTTCTGTAAAATCATGGTAATAAATCTCTCTACCCCACAGAAGCAAAATTTTCCAAGTTATTTTATTGTAATACTACATAGAATTTCATTATGTAGTACTATGACAAAACCCTTTTTTTTTTCCTACCACCCTTAAAGGAAACTTAAGTGCATGAAGTAATAGATAGGGTGGCCGTTCYACTCCAACACTTGAAACATAGCTTGAATTAAGATATTTCAACTCTTTGAAAAGAGTTAAGCTGCTTTAGTGCAACATAATCAATTCCAGTTTGAGACCCGTGTGCTGTAGTTTAAGCAAATGCTATCAAATAGCTTCTATTTATCAAGAACTAAGCAACACAAGAGCTGGGAAGACATTGCAGACTGTAGTCTGAAAGCAGCATTACTTCCCAAAGCAAGTGCTCTTGTTCAGGGGTCTGTCAGACAGTAACTTCCTTCAGCTCTAACTTATAAAAACACTGCAACTGTCTTTTGAATAAGCCCACAAAAGATTTAGCAAGCTTAAGTCTCCAGTAAATCTTACACTTGCCGAATAAAAAAGAATAAAAGAAWAAGARTAAAAGGCAGCTGTATTTAATGCAACATCTTAACAGAATAAGCATGTACTGAGGACACCCAGGCCAGCAGCAGCAGAGCCATGAGTGAGCAGCACTTAGTGCCAGGCCCAGCACCCTAAACTGCTGCTCGTGAGGGTAGTAGCCAGGGAGAAGACAGAGCTGCAGCTGGTGGCACCCAAACGTGCATCAGTCAGGCTTAACACTTACATACAGCTGTTCTGCACCTAGCATTAATTTAAGAGACGATGAGGCACAACACAAAATGAACAGCACTGACTGTTACAAGGAATTACCACTTCAAAATTCAAGTTAATTCAGCATGTCATGTGCAGGTAATGCAAGCTGACCAAAAAACTGTTAGTACAGAGCAAGCAGTCACTACTAACCCTCTGCAGCTTTAGACTGTGTTGCTTCCCACTGCGATACTACTGAAGTCACAAAACTGATCCAAGAAAAAAAACTTTGATTCAATTTCATCCTACATGATCTTTAATCAGGTGAACATTTAATTTCTTATCACTTTTTTGGTAAAAACTCAACACTTCCCTAATCAGTGACCTAGTGCCAACTTAATTTCTATTTAAACTTACCTACCGGAATGGATGAAAAAAAAACTCCTGTTCTCAATCTGTGTACTTTATCACAATACTGATCAGACTGCAGCATTTTTATAATAACAAACTTTATTGCTCAAAACTAATTGTCTGAAAAATACACATGTAGTACTCAAAGACCAAACACAGAGGCTTATATGATTGTGCAGAAAAAAAAAAAGCAAGCAGAGGCTCAGTGAAAATGAGGCTTTATAGTTGTACTAATTTAGCACTGGCATCAAGCAACTGCACCCGATACAATTCATACAGCAACCACTGTTATCTACTTGGGCAAGAAGAATGGATTGCATTTTGTTTTTCCCTTTCCCTTCTCGGACATACCTCAATACTGCAACTGATCCTTTTATTTGGTTAAGGACAGCACGGCTTCTCGCACTGCGCGCAGCTTSCCCCAGGAAGGGAGGCTGCCATTACTTTCCGAATCTGATTCCAGAATCAAAGTACAATCTAGAGAGTTAAGAGGATGCCAGGAGGCTTTTAAATACTTGATRTTACAATATGCTGCTTTGTATGTAGCCTAACAGCATCAAAGAGAAGTGGAAGTTTACATACAACAGATAAGTTTATGCATAATAGTCTTTCCAAGCATCTGAGTACCCAGCTACTTCATCAGTTTTGTTTAATAAATACATAAGAAAAAGCTGAATGACTGGTGTTTAAATAGGTAGCATCTGACTATTCACTGGAAGTCACAGTAAGTTTTCCATCAGTACCATGGAGATTTGAATGCACACTAATTCAACCCTTAAAGTCAATATACCACACTTTTGTCGAGAAGCACATAATAGGCAAAGCAAAAAACTGTCCAACTCCCAAAGGATGGACCTGTTCTTAAAAAGACATTCCATCCCTACAAAAATACCCATCTTTCCTGGGATACGGGAGGGATAAAGAACAAATATCAGTGACAAAAGCAGCAGTTGTTTTATGCATTCATACAATCAAGATCTAAACCTTTACAGCCGATTACCTAGAAAACACACAAGAGTTACAAGACAAGTTTAGGATACATCTTGAATCACACTGTAAGTGTTCATGCAGAAGCTGAAGTTAATGCAACGATCTATCCTCTATCACAGCAGCTCGTGCTTATGTGCAAATGCAAGACTGTTACACTCCAAACAATAGTAAACATTAAAACACAAGAATACTTCACAATGACAATAAACAGCAGTTAAGTTGTTTGTTCCAGCAGTTATTGCGCTATTTTCTGGACATCTCTCCAGTTAAAGGCTGCAGCAAGGTCTAATACCATCCTTTTTATTTATTTTTTTATTTTCTTCTTAGAATGCATATTTTCTAGACTTTGGTTCACAATGAAATCTCTGGATGTTTTAATTAAGGGCAACGGTCACCTTCCTGTGATTCAGATAGTGGCAGACTGAGGTAATACAACAATCCTCTTAAAAATAATAAAAACGAATTTTAAAGTGAGGCATCTATGGATATTCTGCAGGTGACCTGCAAAAACATTGACATTCTGATTTCAGAAAAATAAAGACCTACAAGGGTGATTTGTCTATCCAAGTATAGATTTTCCTGCTGAAAAGACATAAGCAAAAATAAAACCTACCTAACAGTTAATACATTTAGGCATACAAGATAAGCCCTGTCTTTATGAAAAAAAGCGACAAACAGCAATCACTGCTTGTCAGTACTGCACCAGTTTCAACTACCTTTTAAAGATGGAGATTTATTAAAGCTATACTGAAAAACAAAAAGCAGAGGCAGTATTTTTTTTTCTAATTTTTGTTTTTTTAGATAGGCCACTTGTTTAAATAATAGTTTATGTATAGTTTTCCAACTACCCGTGTATCCTGTACTAACAGGACTAACTTGCAGAACTGAAAAGCTAAATATAATAGTGAACAATGGGGAACTTCATCTTGGTAGAGACCTCTGAGCACATGGCTCAAATAGAGAAACAGGTAAAACTCCAGACTTGTTTAAACACCCCTCTAACCTTACACAGGATAAGCAACATATTACAGAACAGAGCTTGGGAGAAAAAACAAAATCCACAAATTTCCAAAATAAGAGAGGTGATAATAACGGAGGTCTGACAACACTGATGCCAATATTGTTAAAATCCAGTAGGCACAATTCATTATACTGCAATACACTCTAGGTAACAAAGGTTAAAAAACAAAAAAGTCACTATCCAGGCAAGTACCAGGAGCTGCAGCAATTCTACAGAACTGACCTCTCTCGCTCTTACCAGAGTGTAAAACGCAGCAGTACAACTCACAGTTCTTGGACAAAGCACTGGAGCTTCAGCAGCCCTTAGTRTTCACTTTACTGAAGAGCAAACCAAAGAAGCCACAAACAATGGGTGTAARACAAGACTTACTGCATCACCCAGTAAAGAACCCCAAATGAAGAGGGGAGAAAAAACAATCAAGCAACCCCCCCTAAAACAAAAAATACATCAACAAGCAGCAGTGCTTTCGCTACAGCCCAAAGTATTTCTTCTGTGCTTAATTTATTAAAGCCTCATATGACATAAGTGAGTACTGCCTGTTTTTTAAGATTGTATTATTTTAAAATACTTGCATATTCATGATTTCATGTTAAACAGTACAAGTTGTTAYGGTCTCATTCTACTTCTTACTCTATGCTGTATTCCAAATCTACATTCTAACTTTCATTGCAGAAGTTACACTTTTTCTTCAAAAACTAAAATGTAATTAAAAAAAGTAAAAACAATTAAAAAAATGTAAAATTGCTGCAGTTATTTGAGATTTCTCAAAGTTCTTTTAAAATTCCTGCTTTTATGGTGCAAATTAGTTAAGACTTAATTCATCATGTCAGATATATTCTGACTCCAAAAAATGAGAAGCTGTTTTATTGCTGGGGAGAGGGAGTGGAACATCTTTAAACACCACATCGGCAAAATACCTTCAGACTGTCAACCATCTTCAGTTACATTTTGGCTCCAAGCTTTGAAAAAGCCTTTCAAGTGGCCAACTTCACTAGAGTTTTTACTCTAATCAAGCACATAGGGTCCTATTTTTCCCTTTCAATTGATCCGTAAACTATCATAGGTTCTTTTAAATTAAAATAAAGCCCAACGATTTGGAATAACTAGCTTGTTGCTCATAACACTACCRGGTACACTTGTTCTTTTCAAGTAAAAATAACAAGAAAAGAATCTTTCCTCCCTCCCACCCCCCAAAAAAACATCTATCAGACCTGCCTACTGTGATCTTGAATAGCTACAGCTGGCAGGAGACAAAACGGACTAAGGAAACAGCATTACTGGCCTAATCCTATGGCATTAGAAACATTGCTCATCACTTTCAGGTATTCGTCACCAAAGTGTCTTATCAGTGCATATTATTATGTGCTGAAATGCAACAAAACTTTTCACAAAAATAGTTGTAGGCATGTTCATACAGAAGGTGTATATATATTTCAGATACATGTATACATATATATATATAGTATCAGCTTCAACCTGTACATAGATATTCTGAATTTGATCCTTAAAACACATCCATTTCAAATAGCATGGATGCCTTTCAAGGAAAAAGTGCTTGCTTGAGTTTATCCTGTGTGAACATGCCTCTTCTCTGTGCATTTGCCCAAGTAGCAATCTTTATGATCAACCCTTTAAACACACATATCAGAGGTATAAAAAGAAAAAAAAAAAAAGGAAAAAAAGGAAAATAAAACAGAAAAATGTAATATTGCCCTGATGCAGAAAGAATAATGCATAACTGAAGCAGCTTGGATTTTAAGTTATCTTGCATTCTGCAGCAAACAGATTTTTAAATAATTGTTGAAAATCTAGTTCCTCCATTTGTGTTATTGCTCCCCACTTGTAAGATTTCTCATTACACATCAACAGTACACAGAGGTTCGCTACCAGGCTGAGCTGATTCTACTATTGTCATTTTGGGCTTCTTTCGTGTTTCCTCCTAGAGAGAAAAAAATAATAATAAAATAAAAAAGATACGTAAAACAGATCGAAACCAAGAACACAATATTAAAATATAGTCTTAGAAGTCTTCAAAATTTTTGCCAAAAGTTAGATCTTCATCTTTGTAAAAAGCTCATTTGTTCTAGTATTAAAAAACAGCAGGTAAAAACAAGTCATTTGCCTGYTAAAAATAAAGCATGAGAATTTCTCTAAAAACTAGCCCAATAATCAAGTTTTGAACATTTGCCCTTTACATGAAATATTTTAAAAAACAACAAAATGCAAGAATAATTGGCAAGTCTAACATTTGTCATTTTTTCTTGTTTGTAAATACAAAAAAAAAAGATGCACAGCCACTACTCACTCTTTCTTGAGCCAATTTTTTCATTTCTTCCTGCAGCTTGTTCAGAATGTGCAGATTTGGCTTGTTCTTTTTGGCATACTGCTGAAGTTCTATCACACTTTTATCAGACGTTTCCTATTCAATAGAACCATAAGCAACAACAGTACTTTAATAAAATAAATCCAAATACATGGAATTACACGGAAAAATAGATGTGATGTGTTTGCTTAAATAACAACAAATCTTTCACTGAGTTAGTTACATATTAAATAAGTTACATAATAAGTCATTTAAATTTCAGACTGAAAAATCTAAATGAGATGAACAGACTTGTTATCCTCGGTGAGAATGTTTTTGGCAATAGCTAGATATGAGAATCAACTCAGAAGGCAGGATTAATCATCAAACATTGTTTATCATGACAGGAAAAAACAGTATTATGCCAAAACAGGCATCATTAAAGCTTTGTTTTAATAAAATAAAGAACAATGCCAAGATTCAATCAAAACTTACAATCAAACAAAATTACCTGTTTAACCATCTTGCTGCTCTCTCTGCCATACATACGCAAAAGAGAACCCCAATTTTTCACATGTGGATGCAGTAGCTGTAGGATTTTCTGTGAAGCTAATTGTTTCCCCACTCTTTTATTTTTGCCTGTAAAAACAATTGAGAAAATGTGTCATGCCAGGACCTTCCATAATTAGCAGAACATCAATATTTACTCACATTACCAAAATTTAGATAGTAGAGGAGAGCAGAATAAGTGTAAAATGAGCTAGAAAGCTTAACAAGTAGCTGACACAATGATTAATAAAGGAAAGTGGGAGAAGGAATATATTAAAMATCACACTGAAGCACTGTACTTACACCAGCCTCGCACTGTGTGCTTGCCACAAGTCATGACGTATTCRCTCTTCTGATTTTTACCAGGAATCACTTCAAACTTTATGGATGTGTCACCCATTCCATGGTTTCTTAAACACAACAAGCAGTATCATAAGGTAAGTAAAATTACAATTAACTGAAATAGTTACAGTTGTCTTTAACAGTCAGTGCAGTGGAATAATATTTAAATTTATATATTTAAAGACATATTAATAAGAGAGTACTGYTTTAGACCAGTAACTTGGTTTAAATTGAAAGGAAGTCCTATATAAGGGGGAAAGAAAAGTATCAAGACTAAAGCCTAATCTCAGAATACAAGAAGCATAAACATCAAACATGAGTTAAGGGACAGTACCCACTTTAGGCTGTGCCTTGCCTGTGCTGTGCCTTGCCTGTGGGCTTAGCCAGCCCACAAGCATCTTCAAGCTACCAGCATCCAAGTGGATGAACAAAGAACTCTGACCCAAACAAACATCTATATGCAAAAGAATTGGCTCCCGATTATCCCCCTTACCTTTTAAGGCACTCATGGAGAATCTGATATGGAGACAAGAGTCCAGCTTTACTGGTCAGTTCATATACCCGTGAGTCCTCAATACTGATATGGTTAAAATACTACAAAGGAATTGAAAAAGGTTACTGAACATTTATGCAAATAAAAGTTTCCAGTGATGATGTTCATCAGGTAAGGAGACAATACCTCAAGTTCTTCACTGTCTTTGGGCTTCTCCTCAGAGGTCTGTTTAACAAAATCAGGAATAAGGATTTCCAGTGTAGCTCGAGCTGTAGAAAAAGTTTCAGTGTCTTGATTACTTTTACTTTAAACAGGGATTCTGATCAAAAACAGCAGAATAAAAAGGATTTAAGCAATTCTCAAACTCAGTAAGAATTTCCTGGGTAGTAGGGGAAAGATATTTCTACTAAGGTATTCCTAAGGTATACAACATTCTCATTAAGCTATTCATTGTCTACATACTTTTTAATAAATCACACAATTAAAACTAGTTACTGAAGAATTGTATTTGGAAATTCACAGCAAAACCCACTTAGCATAATACAATCGTTCTACAGAAAAAGAATCAAAACCATCAGAAGAGTTATTTCTAAGAGGGTAAAGGTTTAGATTTTGCTAAAGCCATAAGCCAGGTGTTCATACAACAAGTGACTGAACAAATTCATTTACCTGACTTTAGATATTAGCTTATATACTGTTGACCTGTACTGAGTAGTGTAAAAATGTGTATTCGGGGGGTGGGGGGAAGTCAGGTATATTGATTTGAAGAAGAAATTAAGTTTTTTCATGTTTTATTTGTCCCATGAAGTTGTTTGATCTTGAGCTTGCATAAAAATACTGTTGTAGAGGGCAGTTCCATCTTCTTGAAAGAATATGGGGAAAAAAATCTCATCTTCTTTAATTAGTACTAAAATTAATCCTACTTACTATTACCAATAAGTCATTTTTGAAGCATAAATGAAAAGAGATAAGCAATTCAGCAGTTAATATTAAGCAAGRAAAGAATGTTACCAGCTTTATTCTTGGCAAGTTTTTTGCTGCTGGCAGTTCCAGCCCCATAAGTCACTCCATCAATAATCACCGAGGCTCCAAAAGGCTCACTTGGGTTCTCTGGAAAGGTGGGGAGGAAGGAAGGGTCAGGGAAGGAAAAAAGGATTTTTAAAAACTCACCATTTAAAACATCACAAACATAGAGAATTCTCATTATCAAATTTTATATTAACCTCAATTTCAGGTTGAAGTCTTAGTAGAAGTCACCCAGCCTAGATGAGCAACGACTAAATTACCTCTCTCATGACTGACAGAGTAAAATTAAAATCTGCTTAAAAACACAAACCTACTAAAAGACACCCCTTCAGCATTTCACATAGGCCCCTCACATTAATCATTCGAAGTCTTTCCACCTCCTTTATTTCCCTCCTTTTACTACTATGAGTAAAACTGGCTCACGTTCATACCAAAGCAGTTCTCATATGAGCTTTTTGAAGGTTGCACACAACTAAATTTCTCCATAAATATTGAAGTAATAACAGTTTTAGCAGTGACTTGAGACAATGGCATGAATGACTAGAGCTATGCAGCCACTTTCAGTTTCCACTTACACTTTTCAAGATCACTTTATACACAGACTATTCTCTAAGGAAGATCAAATTTAATCATGGAATGTTAAGATATGACACTCTCAAGACACTCTAACATTTTATTATTTTTCTAAAGATATTCAAGAGTCAGTGTAGAAGTCCTTCAAGACAACTGTGGTCAATTAGAAACCTTAACAGACTTACCACATTCAAAGAAATTGTAAACAGGGCGAACCTTTAGGACTCGTTGCATGTATTCATGCAGTATGCAAACTTCAGATTTCCCATTGGGATTAATGACAAACTCTAAAGGAAAACATGGGAGAGAAAAAGACAACTAAGTAATGTGGTCTTTAAGAAAAAAAGTGACATGGATAATTGTCTTGCCTAAGTTAAACATAACACAGTTTAACCAGGCATGGATATTTAAAGACCCAAAACCTTTTTCTCAGAAAAGGTACTAAGAAACAAGTCAGAGAATTTTTTTTGCACTTCTTACATCTGAAACCAAATGAGAAATACATCTTTCAAGTCTCCCGATTCTTTCCTGCAACAGTACCATGAATCAAGAGCACAAGCCCTGTCTCACTGGACATCTCTGTGGGATGCGACCAAATGCAGAACACATCACGTGACTTAGACGCATAAAGTCCAAATAAGCAGCCACAAGGCGCCTCTAAACGTTCAACTCACAATGAAATATATTAGCTAAGAGTTTTACACTAAATCATCTTTCACAAGGTAACATAACACCGTAATTCACTCTGCCATCATTTTCCTATACACATACACATCTTAAAGCATGTAACACTCACATTAGAAACAGCAAATATTTTCACAAGGTGATTTTTTCAAGGTCTCACCATACTGCAGTTAGACTGCGGCTACACAATGAGCATAAGTATAAATTTATCTCCCCCAGATATATTGTCCACATCACAAAATATGTAACCGCATACAGTCATCTCCGACCATCAGCATATTTTAAAACAGTAATTTTAATTATAGTTTTAACATGGATCATTTTAACATTTATGATCAGCCCCTAATTTGGGGCCGAGTAGAACAGATACAGAACTAAAAAGGTAGCAGCATTCAATTACTGAGCAGGAGAGTTTTCAGTGACAATTAACAGTAACAACTAGCTGAAGGCAATAACCAGTTAGTTACCAGGACTGGGGATTTCTTTTTTTAAATACAAAATATATTTTGTTAATTTTCTTTTTTTTCCTTTACTTTCTAACATGATAGATTCAAGACCACAGAACTTCAGAAGTGAGTTTATTACAGAATTAATTTCTGGCCAAGTTCAGAACTAGAATTATCCTCTGAAACACGCTGCTTGAACCCCAACGGAGGGAACTCACCTTTCTTTGTGGGTGCGTCCTGCACGGACAAGGTGATGAGTTTCTGGTTGGCAGGCAGAATAGGCCGCTCGGACTCCGCCTGCTTCCGTTTCATCTCGCGATTGAACTGCCGCCTCTCAGCCCAGGTCCGGAACTTCTTGACAGTGACTTGTTCAAAGTCAAAACGCTTTTCAAGGTAGCGTCTAAAATCCTCCAGGTCTAATAAACATACACACGTTATTCTTATTGACTATTGAGGATGCATTACATTCAACATTTCCGCTGCTGTGGATGTGCTGTAAACCATACTATTTTACATTAAGGGAACTCACTACTATGTAAAGCTTGAAATGTTTGGGCAAACTGAAAAATACACATTTTATATTGACACTTGAAGATTTTAACAATCCCTAACACTAGTGTAATATCCAGCAACACACTAACAGTTGTACTACTTAAATGAGCCTCTGCTTCAGCATTTACTTACCTTCTCATTACCTAGAAGAAATGCATACAGTGAAAAACAGCACACTATAAGCCTCATTTTCCTGAAAGCAGAAGTATTGCTGCCTACTTACTAAACAATGCATCAGAAAGACCATATAATAATGCTCCATAAACATCACGACTGGCTTCTAAATTTACTTTAATATATTGTTCTCCCCCACCCACCCTAGAAAACCATCCCTCAGAGTAAAGCTGCATTTACTTTATAGGATGTTTCTGCAGATACAATGAGCAAAAATAAGAGCAGCATGTCAAGATGCAAACGAACAACAGAGAGCTGCTGACAATGCTTCCTTCCACAACAAATCTCAAATGCAAGTCACACTTGTATTTGATCATGCACCGAATAATCTTTTTTTCAACAATACAGTGAAATTCTCTAAGAACAGAGAGCTGCATGAGCTACACGTGGAAAATAAGTTCTTACTATTCCTAGTTTTCACAGAAGTATTGGAGATTTATTAGTTTTGTTTTTGTAAGTCTTTGATATGATTTTAGGATTAAAAGGGACATACATAAGAGTAAGTTTTACATTTTAATACCATGAGGACAACCAGTAATAGCCTAGAATCCACGCCAATATTCTGAGCAGCATTAATTTTACGTAGTACTCTCAAGTAAAAAGTTGGGGAAGAATTTGATGAGTTTCTCTATAAATTGGGAAGGGAAGGGCAGGGAAGTTTAGCATGACTTATTTTGACAGATAGTGAATAAAAGCCGCCAGACTTGTATGAATAAAATACTGAAGCATCGACATCCCTTTGAAAGGGTGCAAATGTGCATGATTCATTCTGTATTGTGTGAATAAGCTAATCAAGTTCAACTGTATCATTTACCTTAACCGATTATACTGAAAACGGGTGTAATTAAGACAACACAAAGAACGTACAGAAAAAGCTTATTTACAAGAATATGCACACATATACTTGATAACAGCAATCCTTATGATAGTGATTAATTTAATTGAATCATACTGAGGTAAAATCTACAGCACTAAGTCCCCCAAATTTTCATTCTTGCGTAGCAAACTTTTGCACAGACATGCTCTTGAAAAATCTTTAAATATCAAAGTGTGCATGTCTTCCTTCATGTTATCATGATTGATTTACAAAACTGGACCTGTTTTTCCAGATACTTCAATAGCAGAAACTATACAGAAAGAAACTTACCCTTTGAGTAATATGTTATTCAGTTGGCAAGCCAGGAATGAARTGCAAGAGTTCTAAATGCCACTACCCCACAGCTTTAGCCAAGAAAAGTCTGCTTCCCATTCTTACCTACAGATTCATCTTTACATACTTCAACTTTGGCCTTAACTTGTCCTAAGGCTCCTTGTGCTGCATCTCCCCCTGCAGGGTCTTTGTCATCTAAAGGCCCTGAATCAGCAGCAGTGGAATCTGGCTCTTCCGTTTGGCAGTCCAGGTCGGAGGATTTATCTATGTGCTTTACAGGTGATACCTCCCCATTTGGGGTTATGTCATTATTTTGTTCCCTTTCTTCGTTTTCCTTCATTTTTTTGTAATGCAAGCAGGGAATGCTACTAAGGGGAGGATCATGTTTCTGCAAATACAAAATATACACAGAGTTTCAGTAGTGCTAGTTGACACCTACGTGATCTAAGTAGATTTCATGCAATAAATTATCTAAATACGCTTTCTAATGTAATAAAACTAACATATTGCAGCTATATGCTAAAATAAAAAAGCAAAAGACCAACTCATCTCAACCACCCAAACTCACTGCAAAATGGAATTAAAAAAAATTGTTATCACATTTTCATGGAAAAAAACACGTTCGCTTTTCAAGTAGTTCTAGCACCGGAAATAAGCCTGCTAGAAGAGAAAATCATTCAGTCATCAGCAAAAACAGGTCTAATTTTTTGAATTTCCACAAGTATTTTTTAAGAAAATGACAGTTCTCACCCTTATGCTTCCTGTTCCCAAGAAATAAGGTCTAGACCAGGTAACAACTCTAGATTCTCTGTGCAGATATACAGGAATGCCTGAGTTATGGAATGTCATGATCCATCCATCTGGCAAAGGTTCTGTAGGAGGGCGGCCACGACCTTTAAACAAAGAATGGCTTTAAACTTGTACAAACTCCTTATAAGGTCACAAAAAGAGAAAGAATCAAGATTTTTATTTTTATTGCTTTCTCTCAGAGAATAAAATGATCCTGAAATAAGACAAAAAAAGTTCTGYAGAAAGTTTCTTTTAATAAAATAGCATACGCTTCCAAGTCACAATAATTTTTGCCAATTTTCAGATTCCATGGGCATATACCATTTTAACACTATACTGATATAATACTGTTCTAACAATAAACATTTCAACACTAAAACAGAAAAGATCCCATCCAGGACAGAATTTTCACAGTATCACAAACAAGGTCATCACCTATGTTCACCTCCCCACTACTGCAATAATATTCACAATTTTCCAAAAAACAATTCAAACTACATTTGCATTAAATTAAAGAGAGAGAGATAAAATGCACTCCTAGCCTTCAACTTCACAATTAAGGAACATGAAAACCACATCCTATGGTAGGAAGCCTTTGAACAGTAAAACCTGTAACATATCCCCTATTAGACGAAAAACGCTATCCCCTAAGCTTTTATTTACTTTGCATACCTTTCTGTTGTACATATGTCACACCAAAAAAATGTACACATGTTAGTGAGCACTAACTTACTTTTAAGTACAGTTTTAATTTTGGTCATCATTGGCTGCACGCTTGTTTCTCCATCAGACTGGTGATCACTCTCACCACCGTATTTCTCATTTTCTAGTCTCCGTGTTTTGGGTGCTCGAAGACCTTCTTCCAGAAGAGCATCCACATCATTATCAAAATCATCCTGAAAGAAATGGCATCAGACACCACTCTCCTGGAGCTTCCCTTTCCCCGTGCACAGGGAAAGTTATTATTTCTAGAGAAACTAGAAATTTCCAGTGATCATAGTAAAAAGATTGAAGAATCAGAAAATTAGAAAAGACTGAAAATTAGAAAATAAGTTTTCATAAGCAGAATTAGTATTTTTCATGATAAACATGCAAACAGTTTTAAGAATGTAAGATGCCGTTTACATTTTTTTTTAATAACGAGACTGAAGCTGCTGCCACACAACTCAAAAGTTTTACCAAGATAATTAATGAGTTTTCAAATAAAGAAAAAATCTGTAGTCAGTGACATARTATCAGTAATTCTGTCTCCAAAAATGTTGGATTTTGACTCAAGTAGTGGACATTTCTAGAATAAACTGTATTTAACGAAAATCTCTGCATATGTCTTTACAATCACTTTTAATCCTCACCCCACCAAAAACTATGGATTTACTTACCTCATAGGAGTAATTCAAGGTTTCTTCATCCACTTTATCTCTCTGAACAATTGCTTTAGATGTAAACCCTCCTCCTTCTTCATCTATTTCCATCAAATTGTCGGTAAAATCTTCTAATTCATCCAGAACTGCATATTCCACTCTCTTTTCCTGATCAGTATCATTTTCATCATCCTTCTTGTCATCATTTTCACCCCCTGTTCCTACAGCTTTACCATTACTGCCAGCAAAAGGACAAACATGCAAATCCCCATTGACATTATTAGTACCAAAATCTGTATCTGCCTTATAATCTTGCTCAACTCCAGTGTACAGAACTTTCCTATCTTTGCTTTTGCAGCTTTCTGTAAAGCTAACACTAATCTTTACATCTTTAAGTAACTTAAGATCTGGGGTGAACTTTCGAACTGAAAGTGCATGACGAGCAGTTCTCGGGCTTTGGTCACTACTGTTGGGGTCTATTATAAGACGACTTTTGTAGCAGGCAGATCCCTTTGTGAGAAGCTGTGTTCTGCAGATACTGTGCGTGTCCCCAGCAGGGGTATCTGACTGTCCATCACCACCAGAGCTAACGTCCATTACCTCTGCGTCACTGGACGTTTGCAGGGGAGGTGGTGGAGGCTGTTCGTTAGGCGGCAGAGGTGGGGGACAAGTATGGTTCTCCACATTCATTTCTCTTGCAGGTTCATTAGGGAGGGGAGGTACATTTTCATATTTCTCCATATTTAAAACTGTGAAACTACTGCTTTAAAAAAAATGCTTTAAATAAATGCATATATCTATATTCCTAACATGCATAAGTCCATCAAGCCAGGTTTATCATGTTCTATTCAATATGCAACACTGATGATTCAGTTAAGCTGACTACATTGTTCTTTTCATTAATGTAGACAGCTTTCAGAATCACTGTCTCAATTATTGGAAATCACAATGCATTCAGCTTAAGTAGCTGAAGACTAAGACTGCATCTTCACTGGACAAGCAGCTCTCCTCTTCTTTCAACCTACAAGAAGAAAAAAGGTATTTGTCACAAAAGGAAAATAAGAAAAATACAGAAAAAGTATCCTAACCCAAAAAGAAAATCCTTCTCATATTTTTATTTGAAATTTAGTATCTGTTCCTCCCCCATAATACTGACAATATCAACATATCTTGGTACCATTTTGATTTAGAAAACTTGATTTAGAGAATTAGAAATCAGACTGCTATCTCCTGATCTGTGCACAGCAGAGGATTTGCTCACACACAGTTGTCTGTATCTGCTGACTGATCCTGCTTGTTTATCAGGCAAAGCATTAACCACTGCTTTCATATGGGATAGATTAAAAGCTACTGACATACATGTATTTAAAATAATTTGGTATTAGGGTTATACTTACCCAAAACAAGAGAAACAATGCTTGAGCTTTAATGCTATTTGAAAAAAAACTGTCAGGCTTTTAACAACTATGATTTATAAGGCAGATGGCCTTCAGAAAGCTCAAATCACTGCATATTTTTGATATCCCACTAGCAGCTTTAACAGGAAATGCGGTACTTTACTAAAGAAAAAATACAAGAAAAGAATCTCTAGATAATCTATTACTAGATGCTTGATATTATATTCTTGTTCAATCCATATTATTATGGGAATAGTTATTTGTTATGCCTAACAGATTCAGACAGTGTTACTGTAAGAAAATCAGCTGTCTAAATCTGCTCTGTTCAAAGTACTTCCAGGTAGCAGAGAAAATCTAACCAAACACACTAGAAAGAGAAGCTACGAGCCCCTAGTGTCACTTACAACATTTGAAGACTACAGGGAAGAACGTCCAGGTTGTCACCGGGGACTTAGAGAAGCCAAACATAATTCTATTATGCATCTCTATGCCAGCTCRGACAAAACAAACTTCTACATCAGTGTTCAAACACCAACCAGGGCAAGGTAGAAAGGGGGTGTCCACAGTTACAACGGAACCAGGAAAAAATAACAATACATATAACCTACCTGAAGGCTGGAAGGAAACAAAACTTAAGTGAGCTTATATTCTTGTTTTAGTGATTCACACTTAAAAAGAAAATGCTGTACAGAAGAACTGTCCATTTTTTAACTCATATTTTCTTCTAGACATCCAAGTGTAAGGCATATTCAACACACAGAGCTTGACATGCACTGTGTGTCTTGGTCCTCCTAAGGAATATGACTCCATTTTGATAAAAGCTCTAAAATAATCCCATCTTCCTTATTGTGAATATATTAGAAGAAATTATCACACATAATGAAAAGCAGCTCAAAGACAAGCAATCCTGTGTATTTGAATTAATCAAATTTTAAACTGTGGTGATAATATGGTCACTATAGGAGGATTCAATTCCCTAGACTTTCAAAAGATCCTGAAACATATCACATTACACAGAACACCTCTAGAAATATATTTACATACAACATCTTTTCCTACTCCCATCCTCAGATACAAAATAGAGAGAATTGTACATTGTTGGTTTCTTCATTAATTCTGAACAAAAGAAAGAGTCAAGGGTCATGATATAAATTCAGTAACTACTGGAAATTAAATGTCTAAGTAATCTCTTTCTYCCATCTTACAGTCTTTTGAAGATGGGTAAAATCAGAAATGGAAGCAATTTACATAGCCAAAAACTCCTAAAGCCAGTGTGCTTGAAAGACAGATAACTTCACTGTTAAGTGAATCATAAGATCAAGGAGCTACCTGATCCCATTAGAAAGATGATTTATGACAAGTTGTAAAAGATGGTAAAGAATGCAGTTTCCACATCCCTGATCACGTCCCTGCTCCAACTCCAAAGAGTGTTTTAGCAACACTAATAACAGAACACAAGAAATTAATCTTCATCTGCCAAGATTTGGCAGCTCTCTGATGTTRCACCTCTGCTCTTTGCAGAAAAGATGTTACTACATTCAAGCACTATTAACTATAAAATTCTTGTCATCTTTACCTTCCTGACAGGCTTGAAGTAACAAATTGCACAGCAAATCACTGCCAGGGATTCTCTCCTACCATTCAGTACACAAACTGTCACAAGAACAAATRCTAAACAAAGACAGCTTTGAAGTAGCTTTCTTATTTCTTGCCATAAACCTACCACATCCCTGGGCAGGGCAAAACGCATCTGGCAGCTCTAAATTACAGTATGCTGCAATATCTTCCTATAAGCTATTTAAAAATAAATAAATAAATCCTTGCCTACTTTCTTGCCAATTGATGCCTACTGGCTGAAAAAAGCCAGTAATGATTTATCCTTAGATAACCTGTACTACAGCAGAGAGAGAAGCAATAGAAGCTTAAAAGGATGAATTAGAAGGATGTATACGTTAAAAACAACCAAATGGCACTTAGACAAAGATAACCAAACAACCATATGCAAAAAAAWATAAAAAGACTAAGACTACTAGGTTATGCAATTTAAAAATATAACAAAGTTTCACTTGTTTATTATAATCTTTAGTTAACTTAGCCCAAAAGAACAGATCTTATTCTCTAAGGTCTTAACAAGTTCCATTACGAGGTTCCTATAGGATTCAGAAAGCTGACTGTCAAACCTGCTTCTCATAATAGCCAACTATTCATAAAAGAATTCAGACACCTTAAAAAGACAAGAAGCACTTCAGACAGCTAAAAATATGGATGAACCAAACATTCAGGGAAATATGGATGAATCAAATAAAACACAAATGCACAGCTAATATACTGCACATATCACCAATACACAAAAAGTCCACATTTTAGCACATTACATGTAAAAGAACTGCATCACAAAGTAAAAGTAAACTCAGAGAAATAGATACAGTGGGCATTTAAGTGTAACATAACAAACTGAGTAAGTTTCCAACAAAAGCAGCATATTGGAACTCCTCCACTTTCTTTAGTTGTCTTATAGACCTATATCTATTCAAAGAAGAAAGAAAAAGGAAAAGAAAAAGAAGAAAGAAAAAGGAACAATATAAACACAGATTCTGACTTCAGAAAGCATTACTTTCAAAAAGTATTTGCATCTTTGCCATGAACTGCTAACTTCACATTCAGTGCACCCCAGAAGAAAGAGTGGCTCTGAGCAAACTCCCCTTATTTTCTATCCAAATATAAAGTCCTTTCCCTCATCCTCTGGCTTCAAAGGGCAGCTTTACAGARCAGAAATAATGATGCACTGACCACACTTAAAAATCAACTAAACTCTAAAACTCTAAAGTAAGCCTCACTCCCCATCATCCATCTTCTTCCTATCCTCTACACCTATTGTATGTTGTTTGGACACACATTTCGTCCTAAGAATAAATTTAAGTATGAAATGCTAGAATAAAAATCAAACAAAAAGAGTAAGATTAGGTTTTTTATTTCCGTAAAAACAAAACAGGAATTTCYGAATAAAAACGTTCTGTAAATCGCCACGACGTACAAGAATGCACTTGCCTGCATACTACTAGTTTTAGCAGAGAAAGATTCTGCAACCATTTTGCAGGAGTCATCCAGGCAGCTTCAGAAAAGCCACTGAGGGGCCCAACAGTAACTTCGGCAATGGCAAATTCAGACACGGCTAAAGAACTTCTCAAGTTTATAAGACCTCATCCAACAGAGCTACATCTCATTTCTGAAGGAGAAGAGTATGTGATGATGGAAAGGCACATCTGTAAGCGGCCAGGTAATTGTTGTGCCTTTTTTTTTTTCCCCTCCCCTCTCTCCAGGGCTTAAATGTTTTCAAATTAATGGGGTGAAACAGGAAAAAGTTTAAAAATAAAATTAAACAAAAACCCTGCAATTCAGTGTCTGGAAGGGGCAAACYGCTTCCATTCACCTAACAACTGGCTTCTCAGTTGTAAAGAAAAGCCACGGACATAAAAGCCCTCTCACCAACCCCTCCTCCCACCAAAGCAAAGCAATCCTAGCAATCACAAAGCTACACAAAGAACCAGCCAGTTGGGTTTTTTTTATCCAGCGTTAAAGAGTCCTAAAGTTTCCTAAGCAGAAGGGAGAAGAGAAATACTCAGGAAAGAAAAGTTAAAGAACCAACTCCAGGGTCTGTAACTGAGGGAGTAAACAAAACCAACGGGCTTCACACAACAAGCTCTCTATCCCACCCAAAGAGGGAATGTGTTAACCGCCTTTAACCGTCTCTTAATTTACTTACTGAGCGTGCTCTACCACCTCAGCACGCAAAAGATGCTGCGGATAAACCTGGTGTCAATGGAACAACCTTTATATTGAAAACGTGGTGTAGGAAACGGAGCTAGCTGATTCAGACTTTCATTTGAAAAGGAAGTATGATCAAGTGAGAGTAAATTCCTCCCTTCTCCTACCCACCATTAAAAAAAAAAAAAAAAAAGGAGTTTTAGAAAATTTCCCTTTAGAAAGATCAGAAAGGGACAAGTAAAACACAGGGAAGGAGACATTTGAGAATCAGCACTAAAAACCTGTAAACATATCAAAAGAAAACCTTCTTTCACCAATCCATGCTAAGGACAAAAGGCACAAGGCAGAGACCTTTACTTCCCCAAAAAAAAAAGAAAGAAAAATAAAGAAGTTCAGAAACCTGAGCCATTCAGAAGACTGAAATGGGTAATCGGGAGGAAGAAATACAGGAGTTCCACGAATAAGAAGAGCTCCAGAAGAAGAAACTGGAGGTTTGGGCAGGCCACAACTTTCTCTTCACCGCCCCCAAGGGCCAAGAAAAAAGGAGAAGGGGCGGCCCGCACGTGGCGGGCAAGGAGC